TCAGGGATCAGGATTCAGGGATCAGGGATCAGGATTCATTATTCAAGATTCAGGGATCAGGGATAAGGATTCAGGGATCAGGATTCAGGGAACAGGATTCAGGGAACAGGATTCGGGGATCAGGATTCAGGGATCAGGATTCAGGGAACAGGATTCAGGGAACAGGATTCGGTGATCAGGGATCAGGGATAAGGATTCAGGGATCAGGATTCAGGGAACAGGATTCAGGGAACAGGATTCGGTGATCAGGGATCAGGATTCAGGGATCAGGGATCAGGATTCAGGGAACAGGATTCGGGGATCAGGATTCAGGGAACAGGATTTGGGGATCAGGATTCAGGGATCAGGATTCAGGGATCAGGATTCAGGATTCAGGGATCAGGATTCAGGGAACAGGGATCAGGATTCAGGGATCAGGGATCAGGATTCAGGGATCAGGATTCAGGGATCAGGATTCAGGGATCAGGATTCAGGGAACAGGGATCAGGATTCAGGGATCAGGATTCAGGGATCAGGATTCAGGGATCAGGATTCAGAATTCAGGGATCAGGATTCAGGGATCAGGATTCAGGGAACAGGATTCGGGGATCAGGGATCAGGATTCAGGGATCAGGATTCAGGGATCAGGATTCAGGGAACAGGATTCAGGATTAAGGGATCAGGATTCAGGGATCAGGATTCAGGATTAAGGGATCAGGATTCAGGGATCAGGATTCAGGGATCAGGATTCAGGGATCAGGATTCAGGGATCAGGATTCAGGATTCAGGGATCAGGATTCAGGGATCAGGATTCAGGGATCAGGATTCAGGATTCAGGGATCAGGATTCAGGGATCAGGATTCAGGGATCAGGATTCAGGGATCAGGATTCAGGATTCAGGGATCAGGATTCAGGGATCAGGATTCAGGGATCAGGATTGAGGGATCAGGGATCAGGATTCAGGGATCAGGATTCAGGATTCAGGGATCAGGATTCAGGGATCAGGATTCAGGGATCAGGCATGTTGCTGTTTATTCTGCACATTTCAGCAGAGATCAATAAGGTAACCCATCCTCTTACCGTGTTTGAGGAGGAGACGCAGGATGGCCAGCTGCCCGCTCTGCGAGGCGGTAAACAGCGGCGAGAGGCCGTACACATTGACCAGAGTGTGTTTGGCTCCAGCCTTCAGCAGCATCTCACAGATCTCCGCGTTGTTTTGAGTAGCAGCTTCGTGTAGGGCCGTGAAACTCCAAATACAGGGAGTGTTGACGGCTGCACCGTGGTTCAACAAGGCCGCCACTATCGCGGCGCTGCTTCTCTCACAGGCTGCAGAGAAACCAGAGTTTATTGAGGGAAATATCAGCAGTCGACTACATACAGTATCACCATTTCAAAGCCCTGCCCTACAGGATAATCTGAGTTCAGATCGTTATGTTGGATATCTTAATGCCCAAATAAAAACTGTCAGTTTTACCTTTGTAGAGCGGAGTCTCTTTGTCATAGTTGGGGGTATTAGTATCAGATCCCTTTTCCAGCAGCACCTGAACGCATGGCAACTGTTCTTTGCTGACAGCGACCATCAGAGCCGTCTCCCCGTGCTCGGTCCGCTTGTTGATCATCCCCGGCTGAGCTGAGCAAGAACACGAGAGAAACTGTGTGTGAGTGTATGTGTGTGTGTGTGTGTGTGTGTGTGTGTGTGTGTGTGTGTGTGTGAGAGAGAGAGAGAGAGAGAGTACCTGACAGCAGTACTCTCAGACAGCTGTCCTGCCCGTACCATGCCGCCTGGTGAATGGCGAGCCAGCCCGGTTTACTTGGAAGCATCAGGTTTGTTTCCTGGACCATCGTCAGCGCTTTCACTTTGCTAACATCCCCGACACGGACCGCTCTGAACAGAGGCTCCTCCTCCCTGCAGGGAAGAGACACATCAGGTACAGGTGAGATAGGTGAGACAGGTGAACAGAACTAGACTCACTCCACAGGTTCTGGAGCGATGTGGACCAGACTACCATCAGGTCGGCGATACGCCACCATGCTCTTCCCAGCTCCCGTCATGAAGCGACTGACGGTCCCATCAAACGTCTTCCTGTCACAGTGACACAAAGACAGCAGCCAATCAAATCCCAGACACTGACCCAACACCCAATCAGAGCTTAGACACTGACCCAACAGCCAATCAGAGCTCAGAATATGACTCAACAACCAATCAGAGCACTGTCAACACCTTATTGACATGCATACAATGCAAGTTTGAATGGTGCAGGAATAATTCCTGAAGCATGAGTCAGCTTTTTTAACCCTTCCGGTTTGGTTGTCTTGTTGGTTTTCTGAATGTGTTTTTGGTAGTCTGAAATAAGGTCTGTGGTTAATAAGAGATCTTTGTAATGCCCCACTGGTGAACGTCTGAAAGTTCTGAGGGTTTTAAAAGGTGGTCGTTAAAAGGTAATAAATGAGACTACTGAACGTCATTAAGCCAAAATGGAGGGGATCAGGCAGATACTGCCTTCAGGGTCCACTACAGAAATAGGACTTCCCTGCACAACGCTATTCTCACTGCTTAAAGAAAGAAGAAGAACATCCATTTATTAGCTGATACCAGCATTCTGAGTGTCAGTGCAATCTGCCCGAATGAAAGTCAAACAAAGAGGAAGAGGAAATAAAACCATGAGGTCACCTACGGGTCAGGAGGCTCTTCACTTGGAGGATTGTGGGAGCTGTGGTTTGCAGGTGGATTGTGGGAGCTGTGGTTTAAAGGTGGATTGTGGGAGCTGTGGTTTAAAGGTGGATTGTGGGAGCTGTGGTTTAAAGGTGGGCTGTCCGTCAGACTGCGTGTGATGGCGAGCTGCAGCAGCTCTTCATCACTAAGGTTACTGTAGACAGAATAATCTTCAAAGTAGTCCGCCATTCTGGAGCTGTGAGGAGAAACATCATAAAACAGACACCAGCACTGACTGCATACACGTCTGTTGGTGTGAAGCAGTACTGACTGTATACATGTCTGTTGGTGTCAGTTGGTGTGAAGCAGCACTGACTGTATACATGTCAGTTGGTGTGAAGCAGCACTGACTGTATACATGTCTGTTGGTGTCAGTTGGTGTGAAGCAGCACTGACTGCATACATGTCAGTTGGTGTGAAGCAGCACTGACTGTATACATGTCAGTTGGTGTGAAGCAGCACTGACTGTATACATGTCTGTTGGTGTCAGTTGGTGTGAAGCAGCACTGACTGTATACATGTCAGTTGGTGTGAAGCAGCACTGACTGTATACTGTGTGGTGTCAGTTGGTGTGAAGCAGCACTGACTGATACTGTCAGTTGGTGTGAATCAGTCAGTTGGTGGAAGAGCACTGACTGTATCATGTAGGATTCAGCAGGATTCAGG